ATGTAGTTGTTGTTCTATACCTAATTCAAAAGATGGTTTTTAAAATGACCTGCCTAGGTTTAGTATACCTTTCAGAAAGGTTGTGAAAACCAGAAAGTGTTCATGAAAAATCTCCATGATTTCAGTGTGTTCAAAAACTTTTCCTGCAATAAGGGAGTTTAGAAGCTTGATCCATTTCAATTTTTCAAAGAGCAACTGGCACTATTCAAGGTTGTTCTTTTGGTTTTTAACAACTGAAGAGAACTTTATACTAGGAGAGAGAGGCACAGTATCCAGTGACTTGTTAAAACTGTAAAAGCAAGGCATGCTTCCCTCTCATTCTTCCAATACTGAGGAAAATTTAGTCAGCAACACTTTTATCCAGAAACATGGTGGATTCTTCATTGCTTCAGTATGTCAACCAAGAACTCTGACAAAAATATCCTTCAGCTTAAATATAAATAATGCACTTGATACTGGAATTAGTGGGATTTACATTAGGACATGAGAAGATGCAGTCCTGCTTTCTGAATTTCAAAAAAATTATTAGTTATTATATTTGCAGTATAAGCCAATGCTGTGAATGCTCTCTCCTTTGGTAAGTTTAGGGCCATGGTCCTGCAATTCACTAGCTAAGAATCCAAGACAAGGGAGCTCTGCTCTTTCTTGTTTGTCTGCCCATCTAGATAATCACTCTTTTTCTCCAATTTGCTCTCCCTTTTTGATAGCGATCTTGTTGCTTTGCCAGGAGTGCAAGTGCCACATCATTGCTTGAACTGTTAGCAACTACCTTAGGGAATCCATCAACTAGAGAGCCAAGCCAAGCACATACTGCAAGGAAAACTCCCAAGACCACAAGCTCAGGCTGGCACTTGTTCAAAGTGTAACACAATGTATGATGACACACTCATCTGTAGAACAGAACTCAGTCTCAATTACATACAAATAGTTAACAGTTTCATGCATTCTTCCAAGGAAAACTAAACTTTGAACTTAAGCAATTAAGTAAAAATAGAAATGACTTATGGTTATTGGGTTTTAAAAATAGGTCTATGTAAGCCAAAAACTCTGCACAGAATGAATGTTTACTCTTTATACAAAATGCTATTCTTCCCTTTAAATCCATACAGCCATGACATTCCGCTTTTATTCTAATTGGTCAGCTTGCTTGCTATTTCAGAATGAATTGAGTGAAACAACATGAAAAGTCTAGATATACATGACAATCTAACATGATTATTAACCAAAAGCCATCTGACCGGAAGGAAACTGAGAGAACAAACAGGGTCTGTTCAAAAGTCAACCTCGACTGACTCAGATTAACACACTAGCAAGTTTCCAAAGTTAAAATGCTCCTGGTTTTCCTCACACAGGCATGAATACGTAGAATTAAGTTTGGTAACTGGAAATGATGTGTGTCCTTTGCTGCTGGCTCCTCAGGTCTCCATTGTGTACGTTACTATTTTTAAATAGCAATAAAATGCAAATTACAAGTAAAGAACTTATTTGCAGACGGTCTTACAGTCTGAAAAGTTAGCAACCTGTTAAGAGGTCATAATTTGTCCAATAGCTCAGCATCAGAGCAGACTGCACTGGTTAGAAAGTGGGTTGCTTTATTCTTTTAGGAAAGCAAAACAGAACTAACGAAAAAAAGATTTATCATCTCTGGAAGAGAAAACCATTTGTCTTTAACCTGCATGCTATCTTGATACCATTGTGTTTTCCAAGATCAAATATTTTTGCATGCTTTAAGCCTGCCACCTAGTGCTTCAAAGCACAAATTCTGGAAAGCGGGAACAGAAAATGTGTTACTTTATTCATGTCATCTTCAGAAAACACCGTAATTACTCAAAAGAGGGGGGATAGTGGCAGAAAGTGTCTTCCACCTCTAGTTTCTCTCACTTATATTTCTCATTCCCTTTTACCCTGGGGGAAGAAAAAGACAGTTTATTTCATTTTAAATGGGATTTCCAAAACTGGCAATTCTACATTTTCCATTTTTAATGATCAGTGAAAACTTCCAACTACAATGTCTTTGGATTTTTTT